CCTTTGATTCTCAGGGTTTGTGAAAGAAACAATAAAAATATATGTATATATATATTTATTTAATATTTATGCATATTATTTATATAATATATATAATATGTATATGTTATTCATTAGTTCCCTCTATGTCAGAGTTCACACCAAGATTCAATCCCAGTCTCAGCCAATTCAGATCATAGGCCTGACAGGGAGGCCTTAGGATTCAAACTGAGGACCTTTTTCATATGTGTCTATTGTATTTCCTCTTTGCCACTTCCTGGCCACAGTGAAAGAAAACATGCTTTTCTGAATCTCTAGGACATATCTAAGGACAGGCAAGTTTCAAGGGAACAAACTGTGAAGATTTTCACACCAAGCACATAAGACCTCCTTCTGCCCAAGTCACGGACAGTGAGCCAGCCAGACAGGACAAGGCCCTAAGATGGACCTCATGAGACCCAGAATCCCCACATGGCCTGTGACAACAAGCGGAGCTGCCAACAGGGCAAGTCTAAAAGCAGGGCAAAGATGCAAATGACAAAGACATGGTTTCCTAGAATATGTAACAGATCTTAACCAAAAAAATGCTAATGAGGTCTGGTCATGTTTTCATTGTTGTGAGGCAGGGTCCAGACCAACCCAGTCCACTGCCAAAACTAGGGAGGATCCGAAAGGTACTAGGTATGGTTGAAGTATTCTTTCCCAATTCAACAAAGAAAAGTAGCCCAAATTACAGACTCTTGAAATTGACACTCACCAATAAGAATTTATCATTTTGGTTCCCAGAGAGTGGTACTGCATTTAGCAATGTTTTCCATTACTATTGTGTCTTTGGGAAAGTCAAGATGCATTTTTGCATAGAAAAATACTCATGACTTTTCCAACGACCTAATATTTTAGGTTACTCATATCATTCGTTTTGACCTCATTCATGATTATACTTAGATCCTTTAGGAAACACATCCATCTAGAGTTATCTTTATTTAAAGTGTGTAGGTTTAATTTTTTCCTTTTGTAAACTATAATAATATATAAATCTATGTATATATATATATATATAATATATAATATATGATATAAAATACATAATAACATAAAAATACATTTGTAATTAAAAAATTAGCTATCTTCAACATGTTCTTTTTTTACTTATTTAGTTTTAGAGATACTTTTGCTATCGGAAGCATGCGCTAGCTAGAGAGACAGAAAATGAGAAACCACCCCCCTGGGGCTGGATGGCCACAACTCAATCCCTCCTCCTCCATTCTTCTCAGGATTTTAGGCATGTACGCACATGTGACTTAGTAATACATTACAGAATAAACTATATCCTTCAACATAAGTAACTATATTGTACCCTAATGAACATTTGAGCTTATTAGAGTTAAAAAAAAAAATTGAAGGACATGGTGGCACCCACCTTATGGCAAAAATCTATGGAGGCTGGAGGATTGTGGCATCAAGTCCATCTCACTCTCTCTGTCTCTCTAGGTGAGTGTACAATTTTTTGAAGGGGTCAGCAGGTGGTGTGGTGGATAAGGGTTCTGGATTCCCAAATGGCCAACCATGGTTCAAGTCCCACACCTGGTGGCTTGCTTTCTCACTTTCACTTTCCCTTTCCCTCTCTCTCTCTCATCAAATAAAAAAAAAAA